CAAGCCCAAGGATATGAGTTGGATTCCCGGTGCCCCCACCCAATCCCTTCAAGTATTTGTGCCTGTTGTGAAATAATTGACAGTTGCCTATATTCATTGAAGTTTGCTGTTGTTGTTGAGACAGGGTCTCACTATGTGGTTGAGACTGACCTGGAACTCACTATGTAGCCCAGGCTGGTCTCGAACTCACAGTGATCCTCTTGCCTCAGCCTCCTGAGTGCTGGGATTACAGGTGTGTGCCACCACACCCAGCCTTCACTGAATTTTTACTTAAAATTTTTTTAAAGAAATATATCATCCACAGAAGTGTTGTCTTAACAGCTTCATCTACCACTCAAAAATAACTAATGTGCACACTCATTTTTTGCTTCAGACATTTTTATATATAAGGAATAAACTATTTCTAATAAAAAATTAGAAATTTGATGGTCAGGGAGTCAGGACCAATGAAAACAGAGTATAGAAACAGCAGACTGCTACATGGTAGTTATGTTGTGAGTACAATATAATTCAGACAGGGAAAGATTGGCAGATTTGTGAGGAAGACAAGATTTGAGCAGAGACTTGAGCAAGGGGAAAATTTCAACAGTCAGCAAAAGGACAACAATCTAGGTGGGAGGATAAAATGAGCCAAGGCCAAGTGTTTCATGCAGTCTAATACTATTTTGAGCATTTATTATGTCAATATTCCAAGTATTAACTAGCTTAATACATCAATGCTGTCATCAGCAGTATGCTAATCAAATAGATTTTCTGTTACTGCCTTTAAAAAGTAGTCATCTGGGTCTCATTCTCCATCTGTACAAACTCATAATACGTTCATGTGCAATGGGCAACTATGTGCATCTATTCATCTTCATTTTTTTTTTCCTGGTACCAGGGATCGAACTCAGGACCTTGTGGTTGCAGGGGAGGCATGGCACCCTGAGCTACATCCCCTGCCCTCATCTTCATTTTTGAAAGACAATTTTGTCGACTATCCAATTTTGGTCAACAGAATTGATTTTGGACATGTTGAGTGTGTTATCTCACTGCCTTCTGACTCCACTGTAACTGGTGAGAAATTACCTAAGGATCTTGGTGAGGTTCTCTTGTAAGCGATGATTCATTTTTCTCTTGCTCCTTCAAGATTTCTTCCTTGTCCTTGGCTTGCGCATTTCACTATAATGTCTATATATGTGGATGCATTTATCTTCTTGGAGTTTGTTCAGCTTCTTGGATGAGTAAAAGTTTTTATGAAATTTGGCTTCAGCCACTATTTTTTGGACTATTTTCCTCACCTTTTCTACTTTAATTATATATACAAGGGCAGATAAAAAGCTACGATTAAATTAAAAATATTACAGTGAAAAACACATTGCTTTTACTTTCCCTCCAAATATCCCTCTCACTTGGAAAAGTCTTACCCCATCATTCTTATCACTTTCTGAAGCAGTTCTGGAGGTCCAATTTCATGCTTTTATTTTGAGACAGGGTCTTGTGTAGTGCAAGATAGCCTTGAACTCACTATGTAGGCTAGGATGGCCTCAAATTTGTGTTGATCCTCCTGCCTCAGCCTCCCCAGTGCTAGGACTACACATGTGTGCCACCACACCCAGCTTTTTCATGTCTTTATGAGGTATAAAAAATATGGTGAATGCTGCTTCTGAGTACCACCTAACAGAAAGGTATGCTTGTAAAAACATTATGGTAGGGCTTCATTCACCTTTTTCGCTATACTTAGCCTCCTGTAATTTCTGACTCTGCCCCAAAGTCAAAATGACCATGAAACAGGGGCTGGGGATTCGGCTCAGTGGTTCCAGCACATGCCTCACAAGCGCAAGGACCAGAGTTCGATTCCTGGTACCAAAAAAAACCAAACAAATAATGGGAATTGAAAATCCATTAAAATGCTTTTTAAAAAAGACCATGAAACGTAAATGTTTTGAATTGACTCAGGACATTTAGGGAATCATGACCGCTCAACTAGACACTCGTGAAAGAGGATTTCTACAACTGTTTCAGAAAGTGCTAAGAATGACGGAGTAAGTGTTTGAAGCAAGAAGGAATATTTTGAGAGATTGTTACGGTTTAGATCTAAAATGGCCACTAAAGCCTCATGTGTTTGGAAAGTGGTTAGATTATGAACATTATAGCTGACTTGCTGTTGGGAAGCGGGGTCTGCTTCCAAGGCAATGCGGCTTCACAGAGGAGAAACAGTTCACGGCAGGCAGACAGTAGCAAAGCAATAAGAGATGTTAAAAGTATCTTTCTACCCTTTTATATTATCAAGGCTCTTTAGGGCAGGTAGCACTCACACACTTAACCCTAGGGTCCTTGAGTCTAGCACTGTACCATGAATCAATCCCAGTGTCAGACACTCTAGACCCAGCCTCCTCTGAAAAAGCCCTACCTAGGACCACATGAGGCTTTGGGGGAGGTATTTAAATACAAACCATAATAACAAGGTAAGTAGCTTTCCCAGGTCCTTCCACCATGCCTTCGTGCCTTGCAGCTGGCCAACTAAGAACTAAAAATGTGAACCCAAACAGGCTTCTCCTTTAAGTTGTAGGTGTTGGGTATTGTGTCTCAGTAATGGGAAAGTGACTAAGAGAGAGATTAATGGAAATATATTTTTTTCTGTAATAAAATCTAAAAAATTCATTGTGTTAATTGATCATACCATGTGTATTAAGGAGCCTGATCGTATCCCCTATTTTCCTGATGCCCTGTTCATTTTTTCTAATTGTAATATATTATTATACAAATAAAAAGAGGAGAAAAAAAGGTGGTAGAAATACAGGGATGGAAAATACATGAATAATCATTTTGACAAGCTTGTGAAGTGCTCATAATTCCATGGTATCTTCCCTGTTAAAATGTTGCAGTGGTTGCTCATTTAAAGGTTCACCTTTAGTACACTGAGAGGAAAAGGTGGCCATTTATTTAAATTTTTTATTTTAGTTGGACTCTGAAGGTGCACAGATTTCAGCAGAACTCACCTGGGTTCATGTCTACTCAGACTAAGTTAATGTTTTTCTCCACAGAGTGGCAGGCTGGTCTTGAGAGCTCATGATGAAATGACTGTCCAAGGCCTCCACCCACTGATGATCTAGTAGGTGCAGATGAAAGTGGCCAGGCTGGGGACAGGCCAGACCTTGGAGATACTACCGTCCAGGGTGAACTCCCAGCTGCTCTAATGACTTTTGTAGGCTCTGGGGATGTGGTGATGGTCAAGACCAGGTCTCTATTCTTGTGGAGCTTGGAGCTCACATTCTAGTATGGGAGACAGACTGCAAAACAACAAATGAAAAAAAAGGAGTATATCAGAATAGTCACATCACACAGAAAAAAACTATGATGTATGTGGTAAGTGATATGGGCAGCTATTTTATGTTGGGCCAGGGAAAGCCTCTATCAAACTTTGAATACAACTTTTTTTGTTATTGTTTTGAGACAGGGTCTTGCCATGTAGTTCAGGCTGGCCCTGAACTCAAGGTGGTCTTCCTGCCTCAGTCTCCCCAGTGCTGGGATTTCAGGTGTAGGCCACTATATCCAACTTTACAATCCAACTTTTTAAACTTCAATTTGCAAGTTTAATAAACCTGAGTTAGCCCATGGCTGTTCCTCAGATCTCCTTTTTCCCTATCGCTTACTACATTCCAGTCATAGCCTACCTGTTCCTCCAACAAGCAAGCTTATTCCCACCTTTAATTTCCTTCACTTTAGCTATTCCCACCATCTACAAGTCTTTCCTCAGGCCCGGGATTTAGCTCAGTGGCACTGCACCTGCCTCGCAAGCGCAAGGTATTGAGTTTGGTCCCCAGTATAAAAAAAAAAAGTCTTTCCTGTAAATCAGATTTTAGTTTAGATGTTACTTTCTAACAGGAATCTTTCCCTAACCCATTTATCATTAGCAAATAAGCATAACAGTTTCAGCCTCAGTTTTCAAAGTGATTAGAACATCTCACAATACCTAGTTGAATATTCTGAACATGGAAAATAAACAAATTAATCGCATTGTGTGCTTTCAGCAGTTACCAGATCATCTTTTCTGCTGTGTTTTTGTTGTCTCTCCCACTCCCAGGGGTGCTGGGCATCAAACCCAGGGCCATACACATGCTGTTGCTCTAACACTGAGCCCTCTGTGGTACTTTATTTCTTAAATGCTTTGCTGAACGTATACCAGAAAACTATATTTAAAATAATCTTAAAAATTTCACCTTGTAACAGAGCTAATTTTCCATTAACACACATGGAATCTAGAGAAACCTATGCTTTTCTCTGAGATGATGAAATAATTCAGATTAAGGGACTTCCCCCAAAAGTTGTGTCATTAACATTTATTTCAGTCAAAGAAGTGTGAATATAGAATCAATGTAACATAAAACCTCAAAGTATTTGGCAATTTAAGAGTTTGAGTAAAATGTTGGTGGTACCTGTGCCATGTATTACAGACAGACATTAACAAAACAAAAAGCACATTCTAAAGAGACTTAAATTCTAGTTTTTAAAAATAAATTCAGTGGTACAGTTCAATGGTACAGCAGTTTGCATTTTTACCATAAGTCAAAAAAGAGCATCGTTTCCTTCTCTAATTGTCACCATCACAGCACTGTTTACATATATAAACCCAAATCCTTTTATCAGTGAATATCTTAAACCACGACAAGCCTCTGGTATTTAATAGAGTTTACATGTAATATACTACAAAACATTTGCTTTTAGAAATAAATATTGTACAATCTACTTCCAAAGTATCAAACAATTGAAACAAATATATACTGGAACAAAAATTTCCAAACATAAGTTAAAAAACTTTGACAAAGCCATACATACAATCTCAAATCAACAGTTAGCTCAAATATTAACTAAAATACTAAGAACAAAGATTTCTGAATGTGTAAACTAAGTATAACACTTAAACATTTCAAAAGATGGTTGTTTGGTCACATAATATCAGTCTGTTCTCTGAATAACTTGAAGACATTTTAACTATAAGGCAAATGAAGACCTAAAAAAGAAACAGTACATCTTAAAGTTTGTCAGAGATCTACATATAAGTAGCTTCCAAACACATTATTTAAAAATATGCTTAGGGTGTGGAATGGTTTTTCCCTGAGAATTCTTTCTAAACTAAAAACTAAAACATGATCTATAAAATAGAATTTTATTTTGATTTTTCTTGAATATATGAATGTTTTCACCCATCAATTGTATATAGGAATTTTTTAGATACTGTTAAAGTAACAAGAAATTTTGTTTTAAAAGTCTATATAAATGGCTAAAATATGGACCTTAGAACCCTAAAAATGATATGGTGAGTGTTCCATACAGCTGAAAAGGAGTTAATATCTTAAATCTACCAAAAGTTATTTAAATAAATCTGTAACAGCACTAGCTTCACAGAGAAAAGAGGTAATGATCAGTAATTCCAGCTCAAATGACCTATAAATAAGCATCAAAGACTGAAAGAAATAAAACTGGATTAATATTGTACTTTCCACAGAACAATGCTGGAAAAAAGTTAATCTGTCTGCCTAACACAGTACTGAAATACTTCACCTTGAAACTTTAATGCAGTATTGAGCACTTTCACTCCTTAATATTCATGCAAACTTAACATCACTGGTAATTTCATCATACAAACTGCAGTTTTCAAGCTACACCCAAGACTTATAGCCCAAGGACACAGTACAGTTAGTGCACATGCAAAGGGACACCAGCAGTTGTGTACCCCTAATTTTTTAATGTCTTAAAAGAACTTGGCAATATAACAATTGAAACTTCTTTCAAATAAAGAGTAACAAATATTACTAATTTTAACTTTGCAAAATTTGTAAACAATTTTCTACATAGCCTACAATCATACTAAATTTAACGTTTTACTAAAGAGGTTTCATATTTACAATTAGATTTTCATAAAACCTAACTATGTGTATCTTCAGCATTTTGATTTATGTGCCTGGCAAGAGTAATTAATAAATAAAACATCTAGAAGTTATCATTATGAAGGTCTTCAAGAAGTGAGCATTTCAGATGTCCAGGAGTACCTTCTGTCTTTATATTTTAAGGCGCTTTATCCAGGACGCCCTTGACCAAAACGACTTTTGGATCTAGATTTTTCAAACAGAAAAGAAGGTCAGAGTTGCTTCTAAAATAACAGGAAGTTGCTACAATATGTTTGCTGACAATATCAAAACTTAGAAACTTCATGTAGCTCCATAATCTATTTTCTAACCCCCTGGAGTGAGATGTATTTAGAATTAAGATTTTTTTCAGAGATAAAAGAGTTATGTATGTTGTGTATCATTTATCTGAAACAGATAATCAAATACATTGTTTCTTCAAAGTGAAACAAATGAACACTTAAGTGAGAAAAAAACCTACAAACATCCACACAGTAGGCTCAGTTCAAGTTTGAATGGCCATAAATATATGAAAAAACTTTTTATCTTCTAAGCTTTATAGATTTCAAAATTAATATTTTGTTTTTGTTTTTTTATTTTTGGTACCAGGGATTGAACTTGGGACCTTGCGCTTGCAAGGCAGGCAGCAGAACCACTGAGCTAAATCCCTGGCCCTTAATCTGTAAAATTAATGTTCGATTCTCAGTAACTTAATTTTCAACAGAAAACTTGTGTTATGGTTTTGATTTAGAATGTCCCCCCAAAGCCTCATGTGTTGGGGTTGGGCTTGGGCTTGGGCTTGGGCTTTTGGAAGGGGACTGGATCGTGGGGCTGCTGTACTCACCAGTGGATTAATACACTGGTGAGTCCGTACAGCTGAATGTGCTGTTAAGAGGTGGGTCTGGTTAAAAAAGGCAGGTTACTGGGGGTGTGACTGGGAAGGGCAAATCTCCCTTCTTGAGACCTCCTTTCCCTCTCTGCTCCCTGAAGAGCAGCTGTCAGGCCCTTCCACTATGCCATTTCTGCTTTGGAGTCAGCCAACTATGGACTGAATCCTCCAAAAACCATTAGCCAGGGGCCCTATGGTGTAATGGTCAGCACTCTGTACTCTGAGTCCAGTAATCAGAGTTCAAAAACCATGAGCCAAAATGAAACTTTTCTCCTCAGAGCTGTGGGTGTCAGGTGTTATGTCTCAACAACTAAAGTGACTAAGACAATGTGTGATGTAAAATGATACAAAAGACCCACAAGTTATATTAAGAGAAATAAAACAGTAAATCAAGGAATAGGGAAGACTTCAATGACTCATACAACATAACATATAATCTACAAATAATACAGTATATCAGTTTTGCTAATTCATAGTTGCAGCTGCCATAGAATGGAGCCAGAACAATAAACAGAAAACAGAAAACCAAATTCAAATCATGTGCTTCTAGTATTATCATGATTTACTAATTCCTCACTCCCTCAAATAAATCACTCCAAAGTCAGAGGTATACTGAATTAGTTTCTGCTGATTTACCTTGTGTTCTTCTCTGAGCTGATCTGCCGTGTACTAACTGGCACTGAAGCTTTGATTTGCGCTTCAAGCCTGGAATAAATACCTCCTGCAAACTATAAAAGAAGTAAAATTATCTTAAGGAATCAAGAGAAGTTCTGTTTTATTAAAATGGCATCTTTCTAAATTTACATAGTATTTTAAATTTTTTAAGTTTTATTTTTATTAGTACACACAATAATTTTATTTTTTATTTTTATTTTTTTGGTACTGGGGATCAAACCTGGGACCTTGTGCTTGTGAAGTAAGTGGCAGAACCACTGAGCTAAATCCCTGGCCCAGTAATTTTATTTTTGATATTTATATTCTGATATTTTATATTTTGATATTTAAAATTCAGGCATAATTCACATTTTGAGGTAAAATTCAACATTAGCATAGAGTTCTGGGTTTTGACAAATGCATACTGTTGTATAATCACAGTGAAGACATAAAAAACTTCTATCATCCCCAAGAAATCCTTTGTTGCTCCTTTAAAGCAATCCATTTATCATTACCAACTTCTTACAACTGCTGATCTGCTTTCTGTTGCTATGGCTTTGCAGAATATTTCATATGTGGAATCATACAGTATGTATGTTTTTAAAATCTATTTTCTTCCACTTAGTGTAACGTATAGGAGATTTATCCAAGTTGTTACAGAAACAGTATTAGTAGTTTGTATTTTTTTTTCCTGGTACTGGGAATCAAACTCGGTCACTTGTGCTTGCAAGGCAGGTGGTGGCACCACTAAGCTAAATCCCCGGCTCTAGTTTGTGCTTTTAAAATAAGCAGTTTATCCATGTGTTAAACCAAAATTTGAGATAGCGAGTTCTCTGAAGTAAAACAGTTCACTAAACTGTTACAGAAATTAGAGTAGAAAAGAGGACCAGGTCCTGGGACATGGCTGAGCTGCTAGCAAGGCTCTCTAGAGTGGTTGGGACTATGCCTCCTAAACTTGGGACTAGTATTCTTATAATGAAATTTAGGGAATTAAGGCATAAATTGTTTACAAAGAATTTATGTTGGCTGTTGATAAAAGAGGCAGGATATGACAAGGCAGTGGAAGCTTTGGTGCAGGTGGAAGTCTGTTATGCAGAAGAACTTGAAGCCTGAGGACTGGCTGAGGTTAACAGTTAAAATTCTTTGCTAAGTGGATTACTGTCACCTGATAGTCAGTAAACTGGGGTCTGAGTCAAGCTTTCAACACACATTCCTGCATTTGTTTGCTAATTAATTTCCTTTTTCTTTACATCTTCAGCCATTTCTAATTTAAAACATGTCAGAATTTTTCTTTTGTCACATTTACCAGCTAACAGACATCATATGGGGCATTTTGTTTTGAGTGATTATGAATAAAACTACTAGAAATGAGTAATTTGTACAATGAATGTTTGTAAGCAACTGCCAAACTGTTTCCAAAATGGCTTTTCTTTTTAGCATTCCTACTGGCTCTTATGAGTTCTGGTCACTCCTTATCCCACATTTGGTACTTCTCCAGACATTTTAGTCAGTGTATAGTAGTAGGTCATTGAGGTTTTAACTTAAATTTCCCTACAGACTTTGCATTTTTTTCATGTCTTTATTTGCCACCAGAATTTCCCTTTCAAGGTATTTAACTTTATGCTGATTTATTTACATTTATTTTATTATTGAATTGTGAGTCTCTATGTGTTCTGGATACAAATGTTTTATAAATGTTTTAAACTTTTCTCATAATATATGGCTTGCCTTTTCAGTCTCATTCTCTTAATAGTGTTTTAAAAAATTATTATTACTATTATTATTATTATTTTTATTGGTATCGGAGATCAAATTCAGGACTTGCACTTGTGAGGCAGGCGCAGCACCACTAAGCTAAATCCCCAGCCCTATTATTATTTGTTTTTGAGGCAGGGTCTCTTACTACATAGCCCAGATGGCCTCAAACTCAGAGATCCTCTTACCTCAGTCTCCAAAGTGCTGGAATTACAGATGTGCACCACAAACTTTAAAATGCTGAAGTCTGACTTGTTTATGGATTATGTTTTTGGTGCTGTAGTTAAGAAATATGTGTCTAACCCAAGGTTGAAAAGATTTTCTCCTATGATTTCTTTTATAAGTTTCATATGGAAGTAAAACTTTTTTTTCTACTCTATTCTTCTATTAATTTTATTTTTGGTGATAGGAACTGAACCTGGGCCCTTGTGGATGCTAAGCATGTGCTCTACCATGAAGCTACATCTCTAGCAGGAAGTATAATTTAAATACTAGGATTAGGGCCAGAGTTATGGTGCACATACAATGTACAGTCATAATGTTATGATTAATATGTAATTCTAGTACCAATATAGGTTTTATAGCCATTATTTTCAGCAAGATAACATTAAAGCAGCACATGCAAAATCAGCACTTTTAGAAAGACCCTCTGGATAGTCAGCATTTGTCAATAATGCAGAGTTAATCTACTTTTAGTGTGACATCACCCTTCAGTACTCACATACTTTATTATGTGTGATGTAGAGGACCTATGGACCATGGATGATAAAAGATGGTAGAAAACTTCCGTGAATTCTGGCTAACTGGTACAGAACATAAAATACTTAAATAGTTCTTTAAAAATTCTATTTAAACATCTTTATACTCTGCATGGTAAAAATAAACAGGAAGGAACATCTTACATAAATATAATATTCTAGTAAACAATTCTTACTTCTTTTGCTTCTTTGGACTTGACTCGGTCCAAATCACCCAATCTCATTTTTATTAGATGCCCTGTAATTTCAGACATCCGCCGCTGGTCTGAAGACAAAAAGAGGAAACATTACTCTTCATGAAGATGATTTATAATATTTACTTCTTAAAGAAGATAGTAATCAGCTGGTTGTGGTAGTTCAGACCTGTAATCTCAGAACTATGGGAGGCTGATGCAGGAGGATCATAAATTCTAGTCTACCCTGGGGCAAAACACTGTCTCAGAAAATAAAGGCTGGGGATATTGTCAGTGCAAAGGCCCTGGGTTCAATCCTCAGGAACACACATGCACACACTATAATTAACAAGGGTTTATGAAAATATCTTTGGCTATTACTTTTCAGATGTATACCTCAATGTATCTGTAAATAATTTAAAGTAGCAAGTGGTAAGATGATTGGTATGTGTACACTGCTTTTTAGATCACTGAAAACTAATCTGACAGATCTTAAAATCACAAATACATAAAACAATACATTATCCACTGGATTGTCTAGTAATGAAACTTTAATTTAATGATACCTAAGAGAATGTGCAAATATTGGCTCTTATTACAAATAGAACCTTTAAAGCTATTCAGTTTACTTTATGAAATAAAAGACATTCTTGTTATTTTATACCCAATTTATGTTATCCAAGTGATAAAATTTACCATCTTCTCTTTGTGCATCCTGGTTGAATCTCAAAGATCTTGTGGCATCCCATTTATTCTTCTGCATACTCACACTATTGAAAAAATTCAACAAAAATCAGCATTGATGCTGCTCTAAGAACGGACAGCAACTGGATCAAGGAGCAATACTCACATGAAGGGAGACACATCTCTAGAAGCTGACTAAAAAGTAGACAAAGTTAAGACCCAATTAGAACATATTTACTGATCAGTATTAGAATTATAAAAAGAATTTATGCTTATTGAGAGCAAGCAAGACACAGTGCCAAGAGCACTTACAAGTGTCATTTCATTTAAACCTTGCAACAACCATGTGAGACAGGCAGTATTTCATGATCTCTATAATAAAATAGGTTTAGAAAAGTTAAGAAACTTCTTGAAAGACCTATGAAGGTAGAATTTGAACCAGCTTTGTCAATCTTGAAGCTCTAAACTATACAATCTTCTAGAATTAACACATTTGTGTGTTGTGGTACTTAACACATAGATGAATATACAATCTACCCAATGTAACTATGTGGATTTTGTCTCAGCTACAGACTTTCACACATTTTTGGAATTCATGGTTTCTCTTTAAGCCAATTATAGCTATTACTGTCTTGTTAGTCTTAATTTTTTACCCCTTCTTTCAAGGGCACAGGGAAATTATGAAACAACAACAAACAGCTGTAAGATATAATTTATTTTAAACTTTTAAAATCTACTCATTTACTTATTTATTAAGTAGCATTGGTTCAATATTCAAAGGTTTAAACAACACCCACCTCTGTCCCCGACATATTTAGTTCCCTTCCTCGGGGACAACCTATCTTCATTTCTTATATAGCTTTCCAGAGATATATTATGCATATATAAAGAAATTCACATATATTTCCCTATCTGACTTACACAAATAGTAGTATACTGTGCTGCTTTACCCACTGTTCTGTACTATCGTTTTCTTCACTTGCTGACATATCTTACAGGTCTGTAATCTCGGTCTCTGAAGAACTTCAATCATTTTACACTGCTATCATTCTGCTGTGACATTCACTACTCTTCTCTGTTGTAGTTATTTCATGGTTATACTTGCTTATCTCTTCATATAAACTTTAGAATAATAATAGATAATTTGGAGTTACCTTCTCCAATGACTTCTCTTTCTTTTGAGCACAGGGTGAAGATATCTGCTTTTTTGGTTGTTTTGTGAACTTCTTTGGCTTCTCTTTTTTCCCTGATAACACAAAAACAATGTTATGAGCTTAAGTTTCATACCTTTCCAATGTACTTACTACTTTTAAACAAAAGAAATGTTTAAAAAATACTGTTTTAAAAAACAGATTACCTCTAGACAAAAAGGATATGGAGAAATCAAACTAAATTGCTTTACAAGGGTTTACCTTAATTATATTTCTTCTTTCCATTTAGTGAAAGTCTTTGGGGAAGAAGTAAGGGCACTGAATTTAAAATCTCTATTAAATGAAAAATTGAAAAATGTTGGGTAAGACTACCTTACAAATTTTTTAATTTTAAAATGCTTTTTGCTCAGGCAAGAGGTAGGACAAGAATAATCTTGGGAAGAAGCAATCTGGACAAATTACCTATATTCTAGATTAAGGCATTCTTCTTCTTTTTTTGTTTTGGTACCGGGGATTTAACTCGGGTCCTTGTGTTTGCAAGTTAGGCAGTGGAACCACTGATCTAAATCCCTGGCCCTAGATTAAGGCATTCTTGCAGTCAGTCTTTTGAATCTACTGTGGCTGACAGGTGGACAAAGGGGGGATGTATCCGACATCCACAAGTCAAGAACTTACTGAATTTCAAAAGGAAAGTTTATATCACTACCATAAATGGAAAACATGCAAAACATGCTACACAGATGATAACTTTAAAGATCTTATAATGAAAAATCCCTAGTAACCTAGATAGAATTATTTGCCTGCTGGCATGTCCTCAGTCCCTAACACATATGTGTTAAACTCAGACATTATCAAGTATTAGAAAATTCTTGAGCTGGATGTGGTAGGATATCCCAGCATTTGGGAGACTGAGGTAAGAGGCCTGTCATGAGCTCGAGGCTAGCTTGGACTACACAGTGAGTTCAAGGCCAGCCTGAACTACACAGAGAGATCCTGTCTCAAAAAACAAAACAAAACAAAACAAAGCTCCTGAAAGACTCGACAAGATAGGACATCTGGTAAAGGCAATGTGAAGAAGCTGGACAATTTCTTCCAAACAAAAGTTATAAAAACAGAATCAAAACATAAAAAAATCTGAAGGTACTGGCAAATAATCAACCAAGAAGTTTAACATATTCTAAGTATCATAAAGAGAAAAACCACACCTAGGTACAATATTGCCAATGAGATATATAGAGATATAGATATATCTATATATAGATATTTTTTTGGGTGGTGGTACTGGGAATGGAACCCAAGGAGTGCTAAACTATAGCCCCAGTCTTTTTATTTATTTTTAATTTAGAGACAGGACCTTGTTAAACTGACCAAGCTGGGTCAATTTAACCAAGGTTTTCTTGTCTCAGCCTCCTGAGTAGCTGGAATAATAAGAGTGTGCCACTATGCCTGAGTAAAAATAAAATGAGCCCACTACACAAAGGGAATAATGACATGACTGATGGCTGACTTCTCATCAGGAACAATGGTGGCCAGAAGACATCGGAATGACATTATTTCCATGCTAAAAGAAAAGTAAATGGTAACCAAATACTGCATATTAAGCAAAATTAGTTAAAAAACAAAAGACAGACAATAGGAAAAGGGAGATAGAATTTTGCAAATGGGAAAGGGGACTAAGATGGAGGGAAGGAGACAGATGAGAAAGGAAGGGCGAGTAAAAACAGTTAAGGTGTGTTATGTGCAAGTACCAACTCCCCAAAATGAATGTAAACATTATGGACTGTAAATATGTACTGTTTTCAGATATAAATAAAAATAAGAGAAGGGCCGGGGATTTAGCTCAGCGGTTCAGTGGCCTGCCTTGCAAGCGCAAGGACCCTCAATCCCTGGTACCAAAAAAAAAAAAAGAGAGAGAATTCACTGATAGTTAGGCCTATTCTATAAAAAGTAATAAAGGGGGCTGGGGATTTAGTTCAGTGGCACCACACCTGCCTCACAAGCACAAGGTCCTGAATTTCATCCCTGGTACCAAAAACACAGTAATGAAGGAAGTCCTACAGAATAAAAGAAAATGACATCAGATGGTAACTCATATATGAGAAAAATGGTACCTAGGTGAGTAAATATAAAAGACTGTGTGCATTTTTCTTTTTTCCTTTATGTTCCTAAATGAAATACAACCATTTAAAGCAAAAATCATAACATTATTGAGTTTATAATGTATATAGACAACCCTACATATCCATGTGTTCTGCATCTATGGATTCAAACAACTGCATTGCAGACTGAAAATACTGTGGGAAAAAACTGTGCCTGTAATGAACACAAAAGATGAAAGAGTCAACACATTACAGTCTTACATGTATATGTGACTAATCACAAAGTTAAAATATACATAAAGCAAACACTGACAAACCTGAAAGGAGAAAGCACAAATTAGCAGTTGTTATAGGTGGGGCAGCTTCACTGATGAATTTTATCATGATTTAACCATTACCAGTCCAATTATTCTTTTTTTTTTTTGGTACTGGGGATTGAACTCTGGTCCTTGTGCTTGTGAGGCAGGCGGTGGAACCACTGAGCTAAATCCTCGGCCCACCAGTCCAATTATTTAAATACAGGAAGACCAAAAATTTCATTTTTTTCACTTATTTTTATAATAGGAAATATAAAAACAAAATTTTATCAAATTTATTCCATATAAGAACTCACTGAAATGATACTTTGTCAATCAGCACTTGAGATAGTCAGTACATACACAAATGTGCCACCCAGGTAATACTTAGGGTAAACTGTTAAGTGGTTAAAGAATAAATAATACAAATCCTACACAAACTGTTACAAAAGAGGGAAATGAAAGAAACATTTCCCAAATCATGAGGTCATCATTACTTCCTTACCAAGTAGAGAAGTGCGACACTTGAAAAAAACATTAAACGTAATAAGAAAATCTGTACAAGCTTCTCAGTGCTCAGATAAAAAATATTTGACAAAAGGCAATACTTACTCACTATAAAAATTTGGCAAACTAGTAATAGAAAGGAGCACTCAATAAAAAGAAAAAAAATAGAAAGGAGCTTCTTGAACTAAGAAAGGGCATTTATAAGAAATTACAACTAATATTACATGTTTATTGGCTAAAGACTAAATGCTTCCCCGCAAGACAGCAAACAAGAATGTTTGTTTTCATGATTCCCTTCAACATGTCCTAACATTCATGAAAACCCAAAGAAAGAAAAGGAATTCAAATTGGAATGGAATCTAACAAGTGAAAAATAAATAAGTGAATTTAAATTTAATAAGTTCAAAGGATAAAAGGTTAATGCACAAAGATAGACAGTATTTCAATATTACAATCAATGAGCACTTGGAAAACCATAAACTTAACAAGAGATGTTCAACACATGCACACTGAAATTATAAAACACTGGTGAGACACATTTAAAAGGACAAATAAATGCACAAGTATTCCACTGTCATAAATTCAAAGAACTGCCTTGGGAGGGGTGGTATCTGTCCCAAATTGATATATGGGTTCAACAGTCCCAATAAAAATCTCAGCAAAATATCTGTAGAAATATCTACATTGATTCTAAATTTACAGAAAATGCAAATCATCGAAAAGGCTAAAATGTTTAAACTAAGTAATTCTAGAGAACTCATATCACCAGATTTAAAAACTCACCAAAGTTAGGACAGTGTGGTAATGATAATACTGATGTAAAGACAGATGAAACAAACAAGGTTCATAAATAGTGCTACATATAAAAGTCAACTAATTTTTAACAAAAGTGTCAAGATAATTCAAAATGGAAAGAACAGTCTTTTTAATAAATAGTGTTGGAACTACTGGTTATACCTGTGGAAAAAAGAGGAAGCTGGATTCTTAACTCATAACCTGGAAGGGACCACAGACCTAAATACAAATGCTAAAATCATACAACTTTTAGAAGAAAACAGCAGAAAATTGGTGACTGTGAGGTAGGCAAAGATTTCTTAACAAAAAAAGAAAAACTAAAAAATCGGAGTTCACAAAATTTAAGATGTTTGCTTGTTGAGAGATACCATTAGGAAAATTAAAAGGCAAGCCATAAACTGGGAGAAAATATTTACAAAATATATGGCTGACAAAGGACTTTGAAGTATGCATTAATTGTATAATTCAGGGATAAGGCAAATAACCTAATAAAAAGTGGGCAAGAGACTTAGACCCTTCACAACAAAAATATAATAAATAATGGCCAGTAAGCACCTGAAAGCTTACCACTATACACCACTAGAAAGGCTAACATTAAAATCACTCAGTGCCAAATCCTGATGTGAATGTGCAGCAACTAGAAATTTCATGTATTGTTGCTGGGAATGCAAAATGGTACAGTCACTTTGCAAAACAGTTTGAGAGTTCTATAAAATTAAACACACACCATATGACTCAGAAATTCTACTCCTAGGTATCTACCCAAGAAAAATGTAAACATATGTCCACACAGACTTGTATGCAAATGTTCACAGCAGCATTATAGCCAACAACTGGAAACAACCCAAATGTGCATGAAATTGTGAATGGATAAATAAATTATGTTATATCCATATAATGGAATACTACCCTGTAATTAAAAGGAACAAGCTACTGATACATGCAACAATATGGATGACTCTCTAAAGCATCAAACTAAATGAAAGAATCCAAAGACTACTCACGACTCCTTTCATATGATATCCTACAAAAGGTAAACTACTAACAAAAAACAGATTAGTAATTGTTTTAGGGAAGAAAGGGACGTGAATATAAAATAAAGGGGCAAAGAGTACGTTTTATAGCAATGTGCTAGGTCTTAAATTTGTTTTTTTGGTGCTGGGACTTGAACTTAGGACCTTGTGCTTATGAGGCAGGCGGCAGCACCACTGAGCTAAATCCCCAGCCCTGCTAAGTCTTGATTTAAAGAGCATAGCTACATCATTGTGTACTAAAAGTCACCAGCCTTACTTAAGAATGGGTGAATTATATTACATGTAAAAAAAACACACACAACACAATAGCATTTTCTCCTTGACCAATCAGGCCTGACAGATAACTCAGAAAGCTGGTTTTTCATTAGGAGGTTCAATATTACAAAAACATGTAAAACTTTAAGACCAAGAGAGAACAGGGCATCTTTTCCACCTCATATTGAAGGATTGCTTAACAGGCCCACTCAATAATTATTTGATTCTCTGAGGGAATGTCTAACTTTGCTATTTTTATTTATTTTTTTAAATATGTGCCAGAGATCAAATCCTGGACATTCCAAAAGCTAAGTAAGTCCTCTACCATCCAGGGACACCCTATCCCTGACTATCTTCTACTGATTATAGCTCAGACATTGCAAAGTTACATGTTAACGTGCAGATTCTTCTGTTTAATAGAAATGCAAATGATTTCCCTCTACTAGAAAAAATTAGTTCAAAGGTTATAGATTTATTGCCTTTATGAGACTTTAATCAGTTTTGCATCTAACTTGCAATCCCTTAGCATTTTTTTTTCAAATGCCAATAAATATAAATAGCTGTGTCTTCAAAGGCCCTTTGAACCAATTTTCCCTGCTCTGTCATGGAACTAATGAGTTGAAAAATTTTGGCACAAGGTTATTGTATAATTGTAATCATGTTTTTCATCTCTTAAAAATTGTATTTATGAATGTTATTTAATGGTTCATTTGAGGGACACTCCAAATCATTACAGGTAAACATCCCTGGTCACATATCATCTAATGAGAGTCCCACATTAGATTACATCTGAAATAAAAATTTTGAGGATTATTTCTCAACACAGTATTTTCTTTATAACTCTGAGCATTCTGTATTTGTGCCAGGGTGGGAATCTTAAGGGGGCCTTCTTTTTCTCTTTCTTTCTTTTTCTTTTTGCTGATATTGTAATCCACCATGTTGATATATAAAGCCAGTTCCCCAACCCTTATGGCAAAAACTTCAGAATATAACCTCTTCATAAACAATGAGATTAGATTTTAACTTAGAAGCCAATACTTTGTTTCTTGGATACTTCTTCCTCATCACCAACTTCATCTTCAGTGACTTCAGATCCAGTGGTATATTCTTCTTCTTCTGAAAATAATGACTGTTGTTTCTAAATTTAAAAACAAACACATCTATTACAAATGTAATATTATTATGCCTCTAATGAATTCTTTAAAACACATTTACTTGTTTATTTTGGATAAAAGAGTTGATAAAATGACTGCTGTGTGCCTAGTACAACATGCAGGATAAGGCCATAAGAAGTTCTGCATGCAGGGACAGTAATGTAGCTCAATGTGGAGCTCTTGCCTAGCATACATGAAACCCTACATTCAATCCCCAGCACCATAAAAAGAAAAAAATCTACATCCAAAATTTAAAAATATATTTCCTTCATAGAACCTAGCACCATGACAGATACATAGTAGGTACTCAGAATGTGTTGAATTGTATTTCCATCACTCAACTGACCTTATGTTCCTATTATTGATTAAATTACAATACAATTACTAATTTTTTTGTTTTTTTGGTACCAGGGATCAAACTTGGAACCTTGTGCTTGCAAGGCAGGTGCGGAACCACTGAGCTAAATCTCTGGCCTACAATTACTAATATTAAAGTAGTTTCTTATCTGGGCCTGGTTCCACACACCTATAATCAACACACTTGGGAGACTAAGGCTGGAGAATTGGGAGGTCAAACCCATCCTGGGCTACAAAAGTGAGTTCCAGGTTACCTTGGTCTACAAGGTGAGACTATTTTAAAATAAAGAAGAAAAAACAAAAAACAAACAGGTAGTTTTCTGAACCAATGTGTGACGGGCTGGTAACAGTTAAATGAACGTGTATTTGTTTCTTGCATCTATGTACCTTACTGTCTGTCATTACTAATGCAAATTCCTATTACATTCTTATGAATAATGATGGCAGATGGCATAGTACTGGCAAACAGGTTAAAAAAAAATCAACCAACAAATCAACTAACAAAGTGGGACTTTAATAGATATTTTCTTTGTTCATTGTCCTAAATGTGATTTAAGAATGACTTTTAAAGCCAGGAATTTAGCTCAGTGGTTCTGTTGCTTGCCTCTCAAAGGCAAAGTCCTTAGTTTGATCACAGGTACAAAAAAAAAAGCCAGGTGTGGTGGTGCATGCCTGTAATCCCAGCACTCGGGAGGCTGAGGCAGGAGGATCGCTGGGAGTTCAAGACCAGCCTGAGTTACATAGTGAGTTCCAGGTCAGACTCAACTACATAGTGAGACCCTCTTTCAAAAAAAAAAAAAAAAAGAATGACTTTTAAAAAGTCTTTTAACCAGATTTATGGTTAGTGCAGTCTGATAATGGAGTATGTGTCCCTGTTAAACAATCTTATGGCATGTTTAGTAAATATAAAAATGGTGAAGCTAAAAGGGAAAACACTTAAATTTTAATTAAAATTTAATTAAAATTTATAAAATAAGACTGATTAAGATTTTATTAAACTAAACCTTCACTTATGAAGAAAGCTGAATGTAACTGCTCACTTACTAGTTGCAGAGTCCAGTTTTTCAGTGACAAGAACTATAAAACAGAAATAATAGATTAATAAATCTTCATCTATCAGATTATAGCTCCTGATTTTCACATGGATATTGTAGAAAAGTTGCAAAAGTTACGAGTATAGTTAGTTTCCTTTCAAGTTGAAATAATTTAAAACTCAGGCTGAAACTGATATACTAAATTAATAAATATATCAGTATTTTAAATCCTCTACCTAAAGGATATGGATGTTTAAAAAAAGGAAAAAGGGATAGGGTGCATTTCGGTGGTAGAACCCTTGCCTAGAATGAGTCAGGCCCTGGATTTATCCCCAGTGCTGGGGGAGGGGGTATGTGGTAAAAAAGGAGCTGGACGTGGTGGTGCACACTTGTTACCCTAGCACTCAGCAGGCTGAGGCAGGAGGATCATGACTTCAAGACCAGCCTGGGTTACATAGTGAGTTCAAAGCTAGCCTGAACTACACAAGAGAGACCCTTTCTCAAAGAAAAAAAACAAGATATTTTTTCTGTATCATTCCCAAAGGAAAAGTATATCACATGTAAAGATGATTTATTTTTTAACTACTTCAATCATTTTAATGTTTATATTATAAATTAGGTAATTTATTGTCTGATATAAATTAATAAATAAATCTTAATGACTGAATATTTTCATAGCTGCCTGGAGATTTTCACTTTGTCAAGTAAATTCTACCCCAACCAACACAATGGCAGCAAGTTCACAAGCAGATTGTCTTAGTAACAAACTCAAGGGAATCAACTTTTGGTTACCTTACAGATATTTCAGTCTTCAAACTTTTGAAAAAATTACATATATTCTTGATTACAATTACAATTTCATATCAAAAAATATTTATAGAATAAGGGAAGGACAAAATATCTGATCATACTATCTTCACTTCTCAAATTATTATTCATAATGAAAATCCTGAAGACCATATAATTTTTTACTTCCAAGTTTTATCTATTAGTTACTAATTCTTCAAGGGTAAGGAATGTGATAGCTCTCGTACTCATTAATTTTTTTGGGGGGGATATGGAAATCAAACTCGGGATCTTGCACTTGTAAGACAAGCAGCTGCACCACTGAGCTAAATCCCTGACCCCTTATTAACTGGGCATATGACCTTTCTTTGATTAGGGGATCAGCTCTATTTCAATTTAAACTGACCAGGTTCCTGTGAAAAATTAAAAGTCATCAAGTGTGCTTTTAAAGAATAAGTAAAGCAAACTACTCACAGCATTGAGCTCTCCAGTTTGGGGGCCCCATGATGTATGTGGCTCCAGTAAAGCATCACACTCTGGACCCTTCTCATCACAGGAGCCAACCACAGGACCACTTGAAGAAGAAGACACTTATGGAGATGTGTTCAATTTCTTAAAAATTTTAATGAGATTTTAAAAATTAAATATTTTATAAGCCAATCTTGATATAAGAGTTGCTTGTGTATCTGGGCACAATGGCACATGCTTATAGTCCCAGCCCCCCAGGCAGGAGGATCACAAGTTCAAGGCCAGTCTGAGAAACTTAGTGAGACCTTGTCTCAAAAAAGTGGGGGGGGCTGGAGATGCAGTTTAGTGGTAGAGTGTTTGCTTACTATACTCAAGGCCCTGGGTTCAACCCTAGTTCCTGTGTGAGCCCCAGTACTGAAGAAAAACAAATAGTTACTAAGTATAAAGACACCACTTGAACATTTACATTTAATTTACTAGCAAGTCATCCCACATAGAGTGCCCCAATGCACAAGAAGCATCATACTTGCTAGGTGGTGAAATGGGCTGCTATTGGTACTACTTTGATTTTTTTCTTCAGTGCTGGCAATTGAATTCTTTGTTTTGTTTTGAGACAGAGTCACTATGTAGTTCAGGCTGACTCTGAACTCACAACATAGCTCAGGCTGGCCTTGAACTTGCAGCAATCCTCCTGCATTAGCCTCCTGAGTTCTGGGATTACAGGTGTGCACAACCATGCCTGGCTAAATATTACTGAATTTAAGGAACTCAAATTTATGGAAAGCTGTATAAAGGAAGTATTTAAGAAGGGCTTATAGCCAGGTGTAGTGGTGCACACCTGTAATACCAGAACCCAAAGAGGCTGAGGCAGGAAGATCACAAGTTTGCGCCAGCCTGGGCAACTCAGTGACACAGTGAGACCCCATCTTAAAAAATTAAACAAGGGCTGGGAATGCAACTGAGTGTGAAGACTCTAGGCTCAAACCCTGGAATGTGAGGACTGGAGGAGGAGGGCAGAGGAGATAAGAGGAGAAGGGAGAAAGGGCTTGGGGCCAGGGAAGTAGCTCAATAGTAGAGTGCCTGCCTAGCATGTGAGGTCCTAGGCTCAATCCCCAGTACCACACACAAAACAAAACAACCCCCTCTCCCAGCAAAAACAAAGGGCTTAAGCAACAGGAGGATAAAATTTTTAAAAATATTTAAAAATTAGGTAAGGATTCCAACCTCTTTTTTTTTGGTACCAGGTTATCGAACTCGGGTCCTTGAGCTTGTGAGGCAGGCCACCGAACCACTGAGCTAAATCCCCGGCCCTAAGATTCCAACCTCTTTAATCATCAATGACTCACTAATTTTGTTTTTTTTGTTTTGTTATTGGGGGTCAAACCCAGTACCCTGAGCTGTACCACTGAGCTACATCCTCGTCGATGACTAATTTTTCTTCCCTATGGACTTCCAACACTTTTAAGTGTTTCATCTATCAAATAAAGTCTGTTGGTCTCATTGTAAGTTAATATAATTTCAATTAAGCTTTCCAAAATAACGAATATTAATTGGAAGAATGAAATTACTGATTTGGGGAAATAGTATGAGCTAAGGGATTCTGAAATGGGAACCACTGAGTAAGGCTGCAATATAGTATTGCTGGTTATTTTTTTCCTCACCTAACTGTATCTTTAGAAAAAGGCACAACAATGACATCTTTGTGCTTCTGCAGATCATCCAGTGTTCTAGCTTTTGGACAAGTCAGCAGATCCCCTCCTTCACCTTCATTATGAATAGCAGCCATGTGGTCTCTCACTTGACAGCCCTGTCATGTAAGAAAATGAATTTAGAGAAGCTGGTTCATTATAGAACACTCCTTTAACACTGTTTTTATTCTTCTTGCTTAGTCAAATCATATTTGACAACTTTTCCTTCAGAAAAAAAATACAGAAGAGAGTCTGAAACACAAATGTACAGCTTAACAAATACCCAAATGATCCATGTAATCATCATTCACATTAAGAAAAAGAACACTCCAGGAGTCTCCCATGGGCCCACTCCCATCTTGCCCTTCTCGTTCCAAAAGGTAACTTCTATTTCTACCCTAGTTCTATAATTACTTCCTTGCTTTTTTCATCTTTTTGCCACTTATGGATGTATCCCTCAACACCACAGTACAGTTCTGCCTCATGAGTTTTATTTAACATTATGTTCTTGTAATTTACCCATGTTACTACATGTAACTGTAACATTTGCTTTAATGTATAATAATGCATTATATGAATATATATCATTTATGTCTTCTATAGTTGGTGGATGGGCTGTTTCTAGTTTGGGGCTATTACATATAATACTACTATGAACATTCTCTTACATGTTTCCTGGCTACTCATTTATACCAAATTATATTGTCATCAGATCATGAGAATTCCTATTATTCCAAATCCTTGTTAAAACTTGGTTGCTAAGTTTAATTTTAGTCATTGTAGTGAGTGGGTATTTGTATTCACTGTGGTTTTAATTTGCATTTCTCCATTTACAAATGAGGCGGCGCTTTTCATATTTACAGAACAACCGTTTTCTTTTGTGAAATGCCTATAACTGGGTGGGTTTTTTCTTTATGTTGATCTGTAGGATTCTGACCTACATATGTCAGTTTGGGAAGCATTTACATATTTACAACATGGAGTCTTCCAAACATGGTAGAATGATGTATTTTTAAAATTTTCTTTATTTTCTCTCAATGTTTTGTTTTCTGTATGGAGTACTTGGAAATGTTGGTTTGTTTGACTGACTGATTGATCTGACTGACGTACCAGGGATTGAACTTGGGACCTTGCGCTTGTGAGGCAGGAACTGGCACCATTGATCTAAATCCCCAGCATTGGACATATTTTAGATTTATTGCTAGGTAGTCAATTCTCAACCCACACCACACACATAAGAGTGTATGGCTCACCTTTGCTGCTCTATAAATATAATTTTTTGTATGGATGATGATGATGGTTCCTTTCATTCACTCATGAAATTTAATGACACGACAAAGATTCAAACCTGTAGTAGTGATCAAGGAATCTAACCTATACTAGTATTCACATATTATACCAAGATGCTCATTGCAACAGTTGTCTGGAAACAAGTTTATAATAGGAGAATGTTTAAAAGTAAGAGAATGAGGGCCAGGGATTTGGCTCAGTGTTTCTGTCACCTGCCTCGCAACAGCAAGGGCCCGGGTTCGATCCCTGGTACCAAAAAAATAAAATAAAATAAAATAAAAATAAAAGTAAGAGAATGGTTAAAAAAGTTGTAGAACAGACACAGCTCAGACTATTACCCAGTAGTTACATAAAATGACACCAAAAGATAATCTAAGTATATTGTTGACTGAAAAGGAAAATTATAAAATGAGTAGTATAATCCCATATGCAATAAGCAAATATACAGTATCCAAATACTACAAATAATTTGTGACTACAAAGTAAAAAGGTCTGAAAGGAAATTGTTATTGTGGTTACCCCTACGGAGAGGGAGGCTGGGGTACGGTGTAAAAAGGGACTTCTATTTCTTCTGAAGCTCTTTTATGTACTGTCTGAGTTCTTTTCTACAAGAATGCATTACTTTAAACTTTAAGAACAACAAAAGAAGAAAACATTCATGCTTGGGAGTGCTGCAACTACAAAAAGGCAATATTCAAAGTTTACCTTTGTAAGCTGAGTAGGATCAAACCGAAGAACTTTTTTATTACAGCAAGGGTAAATTCCAGTGCCAGCAGCGGTCAGTGAACTTGCTGCAGTGGGATAAACTACCATTTCTGAATGGTACTGACAATGTGAAAATTCAATACAAAGAAAAGCCTGAGTAAAAAAAATATGAAATTAGTGATTATTCTCACAATAAAATTACACATCTCAAATATGCTTTACTGAAGACATTTTTTTTTTTTTTTTTTTTTGGTACTAGGGATTGAACTCAGGTCCTTGCACTTGCAAAGCAGGCGGCAGAACCACTGAGCTAAATCCCTGGCCCTGAAGACCACATTTTATAAGTCTCATTTACATGAAATGTACAGAGCCTCAAAGTACATTAGTACTTGCCAGAGACTAGAAGCAAGAACTGGGAGTGGAAGATCTTTGAGTGGTAATGGAAATATACTAAAATTGAATGGTGGTGATTGTCATACAACAGTGAAACTTTACCAAAAAATCAGTGAATTATATATTTGGGATGAATAAATTTTATAGTATGTGATTATATCTCAATAAAACCACCATATTCAAAATTCAGAGGAATTAAATTGACCTTAGTATACATCCTATGTAATTCTTTTTTTCCCTGGTACCTGGGATCAAACTCAGGACCTTGTGCTTGTGAGGCAGGTGAGGTGCCGCTGACTAAATCCCGGCCCTCTATTTTTGTTTTTTTGAGACAGGGTCTTTCCATATACTTCAGGCTGGACTTGAACTTGTGGCAATCCTGCCTCAGCCTCATGGGTGTTGGGATTACAGGCGTGCACTACTACATCTAGCACATCCAATTTGTAACTGTCCAGTCATCTCAATGAAATATGAAAAATACTTCTCACTTGACTTTTTCTTGACATACTTTAATTACTTAGCATCAGTACTAATGAAAACTATGGCCCATTAACTTTGAGTTATTATGGTTTAATTATACAATTAGTAATCAGGTTTCTAAAATGTATATAAGCTGGTAAAAAGTTCAAAGACAAGGGCTGGGGATTTAGCTCAGTGGCACCATGCTTGCCTCACAAATGCAAGGTCCTGTGTTTGATCCCCAGTACCATAATTAAAAAAATTTGCCGGGCATGGGGGTGCACGCCTGTAATCCCAGTACTCAGGAGGCTGAGGCAGGAGGATCGCTGTGAATTCAAGACAAGCCTGGGCTATACAGTGAGTTCCAGGTCAGTCTCAACTACATAGTGAGACCCTGTCTCAAAAAAAAAAAAAAAAAAAAAGTTCAAAGACAAAAACAAAATTAAAAATTAGATTAAGAGTAGCAAAAACAAAGATCAAACACAATGGATAGTATGAAGTGTTAGATATGGGTAATTGGTAGGAATGTAAAAAGATTTTGGAACTTAAGAAAACAATGATAAATGGTAAACTTATATTTATCATATAACCTAGAAGTCCTACTTCTAAGTAATTACTTAAGAGAAGTAAAAACCTATGTCCATAGGAAAACTTATATGGAAACAATTTTAGTAGCTTTCTTCATCATAGCCCCAAAATAGAATCACTACAGATGTCCTTCAACTGATGAATAAACATACTATAATATATTCATACAATACACTACTAATTAGCATAAAAAGGAACAAATTGATGCAACATACAAATTTCAAGTCTATTTTTCTAAGTAAAAGCAGCAAGACCCAAATAGCTAAATACTGTGTGATTCTATTTATCTAACATTGATTGGAAAAAGCAAAACTATAGACAGAAAACAGAAGAATTGCTGTCAGAGACTGGAGTCACTTCTTCCTGGCAAAAAGGAACTGACTACAAAATGGCATAGGGCGTTATGGTAACAGTGGTGCTCTGTGATTTGACAGTAGTGATATGCATTTATCAACTTCCAAAAGTAGCCAAATTTCACTGCATGTAAAATGTACTCCAAAAAATTTGTTTTAAAAAATTGTGGAGAGGGCCAGGGATTTAGCTCAGTGGTGCTGCCACCTGCCTTGAAAGAGTAAGGTCCTGAGTTCAATCCCTGGTACAAAAAAAAAAAAAACAAAAAAAAACAAATTGCAGCAATATGAAGAGCCCACTGGGTGGGGTCTTTTATGGTCTGAAATCCCACTCTGATGGTTTGATAAACTGCTCTTTCATTCCTCTATTGAAAATCATTACCCAAGAAAAATTTTTAGGGATTCATAAATTGTATGTAGAAAACTCTGGATTTGTACATTAGATTAACTAGCAATTACTAGAACTTATAAAGACCTACTTATTCTATAAAAAGTTACAGGTTCCTTCAAGTAACAAGCTTTCACCTACATTTTTTTTTTGGACCAGGGATTGAATCTGGGACCTTGCACTTGAAGGCTTGTGGCAGTACCACTGAGCTAAATCCCCAGCCCCTCTCCTACTTTGATTTTAGACTTCTTTTATAAAAAATGAACCAGGGGCTAGGGATTTAGCTTAGTGGGACTGTACCTGCATTGCAAGTGCGAGGTCCGGAGTTTGATCCCTGGTACTGAAAAAAAAAAAAAAAAAAATAACTGGGATAGGGAGATAGCTCAGTAGACAATGCCTCATCAATGAAAAAGAAGAAAAAACAACAAAAAAAGAGCAAAAACTTCTTTGAGAACACAACTGCTATAATCAAAAGGGCACAGATAAGTTGCAACCCACATATATATATACAAAGCTGCTTTTAAATTTCCACAGAAATTAATGGAAGTCAGGGGTGATAGTGCCTTCCTGTAATTCTAGCACTTTAGGAAGCTGAGGCTGGATAATTTCAAATTCAAGCTAAGCCTCAGCAATTTAGTGACTTAGTAAGACCCCCGCCTCAAAATTAAAAGAAAAAGAGGGTTTGGGGGACCTGGGAATGGAGTGCAAAAGTCCTGGGTTCAAGCCCCAGTATCCAGCAAGGGGTGGGGAATTTCTGGGCCAATGGTAAAATAGTTTGGCTGCAAATAATTTAAGGTAATAATGATTTTATGGATTTGGTCACTTCAAACCTGTGTTTTTTTTTTTCCCAGTACCGGGGATCAAACTCAGAACCTTGTGCTTGTGAGGCAGTTGCCATGCCACTGATAAAACCTATTTTGTTTTGCCTTTTAAAATAATTTTCCAGCAAATAATTCATTATTTCAACAATAAAAATAAGAGGAAGAAGAAGCATGGCAAAAGAAACGAAAGATGCAAGCACTGTTTAACAGCATCACTACTTTATTGTTTAAATACACACAAACACAGTAATTCAATTAAACAAATGTCAAAAGATACTTGCTTTTTTTTTAAAGGAAAGTTTGCATTTTAATGTCATATTGAATTTCAGTACCTTTCAATCCAAGAAAAAAAAATGACACATGGTCATGAGTTCAGATTTATATATATATATTATAACTTGCCTTGTTATACTAAATTTGCAGCTTTATGAAGAAAATAACTCGGGGCCATATAGAATTCAAGCTAATCTGAGTAACTGTTCAAGAAAAAACCATTTCTTTTTCTTTTTTTGTACTGGGGATTGAACTCAGGCCCCTGCCACTTGCGAGGCAGGCGCCGGAACCACTGAGCTAAATCCCCACTCATTAAATGCATTTCTGAGATGAGTATTTTCCTTAATTTCAGAATCTCAAAACAGCAATAGATTCTGGCCTTATTTTTTTTAAGTTTAAACACTAAGACAGCTAAATAACCTACTGAAATGCTTAAGCACAATTGATCCAGAAAATGCTTTTCTTCGAATCTCAATCCTACATAACTGCAAGAGGTGAGGGGGTAAAGATAGACAATTTCTTTAGTAGCATATATGGCTAAGTCCATCAATCACCTTGTACTACAATGTCTATTAGTGACCCTATTAAAAAGAACTGGGCTAATATCAAAAGTCACCCCTTTCATAAGCTAAAAGGCAATTTTAGGGTTATACTAAGCAAAATATTGTTGTAATACTTCAAAAAAATTTTAACCATAAACTATAGGAATCATCTCTTCATTGTAAGAAACAAATAAAAAGTAAGACATTTAAACTAAACTCATGTTTTCCAGTCCTCTTCAAACAAAAGCAATGAAAATCATAGTTGATTAGTTAAGCTTTGTGCTCTAACCAAACTAATTACACCAATCAGTCCAGGCAGCTTGACAGTTCTGAATATTTCTGCAGTAATTTTTTAACACAAAGACACTAAAATGGTTTGTCATATGCATTCTGTATTTCTCTGCCTACCTTATGGCTGAGGATCTTGTTCAATCAATCTTAGTACATGTAAATAGCAATTATCCACGTAAGGCTTTGAAAGTAGTGTTAACATTGTCTGATAATTCTCACTGATAGCAGTCTGGCAGCTGTCTTCTGCAGCTTATACAATCACTACAAATTGTTCTGCTATTTGCACTTCACTAGACACTGTTACAGAATCTTGTACACCTTTTTGACTTACTAGCTGAACATTATGATCTTCATAATGAACCTGAATTTTCAAGATGCCAACCATCTGAGTGGTTGAAGGAATAAATGTAAACTTCTACTCTGACCTCCAATGATCATTCCAAGTGTTTTGTTTGGAATGGTTTTGTTCGTTTGTTTTTTTGAAACAGGGGGGGTCTCACTATGTAGTTGAGACTGACCTGGTACTCACTATGTAGCCCAGGCTGGTCTCGAACTCACAGCAATCCTCCTGCTTCAGCCTCCCAAATGCTGGGATTACAGGTATGTGCCACCACTCCCGGCTCGACTTGGAAGTGTTTTGATGGCTTTCTATGCACGTAATAATGGTTTGCTGGCCAGCTATTTTTTCTACCATACACAGTGCAGACCCTGTTTGGGTAATGTTCTTTTTTTCTCTCTTTTTTTGTACCAGGGATTGAACTCGGGCCCTTGCGCTTATAAGGCAGGTAGCAGAACCACTGAGCCAAATCCCCAGACCTCTTTTGGTATTTTTGAGACAGGGTCTCACTATATAGTTCAGGCTGGCCTCAAACTCACCTACCTCAGCCTCCTAGATATTAGGATTATTGGTGTGTGCCATCATGCCTAGACACAGGTAATGTTTTCATGTATGTTCACAGTGCAATTTCTATAGAAATTCTCCATGATTCAATTATATTTTCTGCTTTATAGGGTCTTGGATCAGTTGCTTTTTTTTTTTTGAGATAGGGTCTCAGTTTGTAGGGTAGGGTGGCCTTGAACTCACTATGTAGTCCAGGCTGACCTCAAACTCACTGTGAGCCTCCTGCCTCAGCCTTCCAACGTGCTGGGATTACAGAGATGCACCACCACACCTGGCTTATTTCCTTTAAGTGATTACATCTGAAACAGATTCTGTTCTTTGGATTCACTTTCCATTTCCCAAATCGCCAAGTTCTTTTATCAATATGTGAGCTATGTAATCTTCAATTTTTACTGGAGTAAACTGGCCCAAGTTATGCTGTGCAGATATATGGGCTGTTCCTTCCCTGAGATTATTACACAGTAACCAAACATCATCAAAAACCTTATAAAACTCTCCAGGAGGGGCATGAATGATGAATATTGCTGCTATAAACACCTTCTCATCAGATAGCTGCTCCTCCAAATCTACCATCTTCCTCCTGGTGACAAACTGTGGTGGCAGTGGTCACCAAACTTGCCCTTTCCACATGGCCCACACCACCCACCTCCCCACCAGGGGAGGGGCTGGCCACTGAGGCCATCGTGCATGCTTCTCCAAGATACCTGCTTTTAATGTTTGCAGAACAGGATATTAAAAAAGAACTCTCACCTGAAAACATCTTGAACAAGTCAGCCAGTTGACTGTTCCCCATAATCTCCAATATACATCTCTCCAAGATTTTAATTCTTCAAAAAGACTATTCAAATACTCATGAACATCCCAAGTCTTATCTCTGGGGAAAGAGCCTCAATTGTTGTATTATTTTACAAGCAAGCAATATAAACAATTTGTTTCAAACACATGCTTTTAAAAAATGTGTGGCTTACTTTCACAAATATTCCTTAAATGATCATATGATATGGACTACACTGAAAAAGATACAAGGGCTATCAAAATATACAATAATGTTTAAAAATTTTAATTACAATAAGTCATATTATCATTAATCCCTCTCAAAATACTCTCATTTTGAACACATTTATCCCATCATTCTTGCCACTTTCTGAGGAAGTTCTGAAGTCCTCTTTCCTGTCTTTATGAGGTGTGATTAAAAAAAAATACAGTGAAGGCTGCTGCTGTGTGACATCCAAAGAAAGGTAGGCTGGTGTGTCCGTTATGGTGCATCCTCATTCATTTTACTAACCCAATATAGCACCGTGTGCAACTTCCGGCTCTTCTCCATAGTCAAAATGACCATGAAAGGTAAATGTTTCAAATCCATTCAGGACAACAAGGCAGCCACAACACACAACCAAAGATATTCATGCAAGAGGACTTACAAGACTGCTTCAGAAAGTGGCAAAACAATGGGATAAGTGTGTTCAAAGTGAGGGGGATTAATGGCAACATATCTTCTTCTGTAATATATATTTAAAAAATTTAAACATTCACTGCAGCTTTTGGCCACACCTCACAGGTAAAATTTCATTTAAAAGTTTGTTTATTCTTTGAACAATACAAGAAGGCATGAAAGATTGAGTGCTATTTGTTAATATTTGGTAACTGTTAATTATTAATTAAACTTGAAGAGATCAGTAATTGAGACTTAGGCATTAAATGAAACCTTTATTCGAATTGAATTATGTTGTGACACACTATTGTTATAGCACTGGTGACTCCATAGACATTTCATTAGTGTTTTGGTTTTTTACAGTATTTCCAAAAGGCATTTTCTAATACCTGAGCAAGGCAGTAATATGCAAACAAGTCTTAGTAAAGTACTTTTTGGGGGGAGCAGTTATTGAGGATTGATCTGAGGGCCTCTGCACACCCTGTGGCCTTTTTATTTTGAGACAGGGTCTTGCTAAATTACCAAGTTACTCAGGCTGGGCTTGAACTTGGGATCTTCCTGCCTCTGCCTCCCAGACTGCTGGGATTACAGGCATGCACCACCTCATCCAGCTGTAAAATACATTTTAAAATTAAATATGACAAAGACTTTAAATTGTGTTTGTTATGATCATTCATAACTCAAGTTCCTATATTGTCTCCATTTTAATCTTTTAAAAAAATACCTGCTATTTTTGTGTTTAGTTCAACATATAACAAAATGACATCATGTTATCACAAATTACAGAAGCACATCTTTTTTTTTTTTTTTTTTTTGGTACCAGGGATCGAACTCAGGACATTGCGCTTGCGAGGCAGGTGTAGTAACACTGAGCTACATCCCCAGCCCAAAGCACATCTATTTTTAAAGTTGAAAGCAACTTTTCAAATGTATGCATCAACATACACGTTGATGAATGAAACATACATGTTGTTGAATAAAACAACAAAAATGGATGTTGAACCTATATTACCAGCTCTTTTTATTTTTAATTTTAAAAGCAGGCCTTGCTAAGTAGTATCAATTACCTTTTTCACATACTACTACCAGTATTAATAATTATTGCTGTCAGAGCTGGGCATGTGGTACATGCCTGTAATCCTAGCATTCTGGGAGGCTGAGGCAGGGGGTTCACAAGTTTGAGCCCAGTCTGGGCAATTTAGCAGCTTAGCATGACCCTGTCTCAATAAAAAATTTTAAAAGGGGCTGGGAGACATAGCTCAATGGGAAGACCCTGGGTTCAATTCCCAGTACTAAGGAAAAAAGTTACTGATGTTAGAAAGGAAGTAATTTTCAAAAGGCAAATCAAATCTCAAGACAAAAAAGAGTAAGATTTCAAGTGCTTACAATAAGGGAATTTCCTGATTATTATATTGAGAGAAAAACAAAACATTTTAAAGTTGACTGTGTTATTAACACTAAGGCCAAATTTATCATTGCTTTGTTTTTCTGCTTTAATGTTTAAAATATAAAATGTAATATTTGTAAGATTTTTTTCTTTAATAAAGGAACACATTTATACTACAAAGGAAGCAAAAAGAAAACTAAAGCCACCTATAGTACTATCACTCAATATTTTATTGAACATGTTGACAGTTGTTTTATATCCTATCCATATTTTTAAAAATGTACCACTAATGACTTCTTAGGTAAGTATTATTTTCCTCCAATATAATTCGTAAAAGCTGCACATTAATTGGTTAGATTTGTTTTCTATAACTATACACGCATAGATGTATTTTAATTAATTTAATCATTTGAGTATTCTTTCTTATCCTCGGCTAGTTAATATACTTAATAATCCAATGAATGTTCTTCTTAAATGCATTCACAAATCCAACATTGCCTCTTTGGATAATTTCCTAGCAGGAAGGTATTATTAACAATACATACCTTTTAAAGTTTTTTCTTTCCTGGGACATTATATCAACTTACAAAACCCTTTCTACAACTCAGAATGAGAACCTGTAGATAGTTAATATACACCTGGATGACTCTTGTGCCCAACATACCCTAACCACCTTCAGCATACCTTGACCTTGATGCCTGGAGTCAGATTTACTAAGTACTTACCTATGGAGAAACAGTCTGGTTTTGATTTAATTAACAGCTTTTTTTTTTTTTCCTTTTGATTTTTTGTTTGTTTGTTTGTTTTTTGAGACAGGTTCGTTTCACTATGTAGTTGAGATTGACTTGGAATTCACTATGTAGGCTCAGGCTGGTCTCGAACTCACAGTGATCCTCCTGTCTCAGCCTCCCAAGTGCTGGGGTTATAGGTATGCACCACTACTCCCGGCTCCTTTTGGTTTTTTGAGACAGGGTCTAATTATGCAGCTCAGGCTGGCCTTGAACTCACTATGTAGCTCTAAATTCACACTGATCCTCCTGCTTCAGCCTCCAAGTGCTGGGACTAAAGGTGTGTGCCATTACCCCCAGCTATAACACTTCTATACATAACTAAATCTGTTACTGAAAAGAAATCACATTAATGTCACTGACCAGAATCTGTTTCAAGATTAAAATACAATAATTTTGGGCTGGGATTTAGCTCAGTGGTTCCAACACCTGCCTTGCAAGTGAAAGGTCCTGAGTTCAATCCCCAGTAACAAACAAACAAACAAACAAACAAAAAAACACACAACACCCCCAAAAAAACAAAGCAGTAATTTTTACCATGTCGAAATTTAAAGATATTATGAAGTACAGCCAGTAAATAAAATGTAGCTTTTACAACTATTTTGTTTTGAAAGTAATCTCTCTCTAAATCAAAGGCATATCATTTTCAGGAAGGACACTATCCTACTTCTTATAAAAGCACTTATGCACCAGAAATACACTAGAAATTCACATAGAAAAGCTGTATAATCTTCAGCATACCTTATATGAATATAGATGATATTTCCATGTTGATCCACATTGATTTTTCCAGGAATGCAAGAAATCCTTCTTTCTGTTTCTTTTGTTAAAAGTTTCTTACACAAACAGCATCTTTAAGAAAGAGAAGGTACAAAAACTTGAATAAAAATTTAAACGTAGTAATTTAAAGAGTAGAAGCTACATTATATAGCATACCAAAGGAAAAACACATTACCTATACAACGTTGCTGCATTACTTCGAGAATCTGGATTCAAGTACTCAGGATCAAACAGTCTCTCGATCTTCTTACAAAAAAGTTTACTATCAACAACAAATGACCAGTAAATTAATTTTTATATTTACTTTATTAAAGTTACATTACAGTGATAGAAATAAATACTACTTATACATGTGTAAAATAAAATGGATAAATACTTAGGCTCTTTGGGAGTTTATAATACACTCTGGTGTACTAAGTGAAAAAAAAATCTAATAAAAACTGCTTAATAATGAATTTATTCTTATCAGGAAATAAGACCGATAAATCTCTCTCTTTATTCATTACTGGAGTATTTAAAATTAAAGATTTTGAGAATTTATCAATCCAAGACTACCAATAATTAGGTATACAATTCTTAGCAACTTTCTCTCTGAAACTTTTCTATAAAAAATGTGGTTACTGATTCCAAATGCATAAGGCTTTATGAAGTTTAAATTATACAGTATTTTAGAAAGCCAGACATAGTGTTAAAATTAAATGAATGTTAGCTTATTATGCATAATATAACTGAACTTGAAGTCTCCTGAACGTGTCATTAACTCTAAATGTATGTTCTGTCTCTATTCTTCCTTATGCAATGTCTGGTGCTCCGTTTTTTTTTTTTTAATTTTAATTTTTATTAGTACATATGTTTGCAGTATTTAATGATTACATACATCATAGAGTTATTGGTAGTACATGTACATAACACATCTTAATTCCCCTCCTCTCGTTTTCCTCCCTGTCTGTTGGTTGTAAAGGCCAAATTTGGATTTAGGATTCCATTACCACATTCAAGTATTTAGCTCTTGGATTATTTCACTGTCTCACTTTCCTTAAAGACTAAATTTCTGGACAATCCTCTGTATTATCAATTTCTTCCTCTTTAATGAATTGTCCTGATTATTTTAAACATCCTGATGTTCAAAAATATCCTTCCTTCCCTAAATAGTTGCTGCTGTATTTCTTGGCAACTATTCAAGCAAAACATGTGGAAAAAAGTTTTCTATATCCAATCAGTCAAATCTGTCTTCATCTTACTATACTCACGAGAGCAGAATTCTACACTTTTGGTCACTTAATTGCTTCTTCCTTTTGAAACCCTTTTCCCCCTTCCTTCTTTGATTCACTGGCTCCTCCTCCTCAGGCCTTTCATTGGCAACTACTACTCTGTTGAATCTCTAAAGATTTGGTAGCCTTTTGATAACAATTAGAAAATAACTGCATTTACAGTAGCACTGAAAATTAAATACCCAGGAATAAATTTAATTTTAAAAAGGGAAATTTCTCTAAACCCCAAAATTAATTTCCCTAAACCCTAAATAAGACATCGATGAGATAAACTACAGAATACCCAAATAAATGAAGGGCTGTACTGAAATATCAAGAGTAACAACTCCTAGCCCGATTTTACAGTTATTATGTTAACTCCAAATTCTGGCAGGTGGGTATGTAAAACAGAAAATAGATAAGCCGATTTTAAAATTTATATGTCAGTGCAAAGCAGCTAAAAAGGCTGTACATGAATCTTGAAGCTGAAGGTGAGGAAGAATCTAGATTACTAGATTCCAAAAATTATTAGAAGGCTACCATAACTAAGGATATGTGCTACTAATTCAAGGATAGGCCAGCAACAACAAAACAGAGAACTGAGAAACAGAGCTCAGGAATAGTCAGCTGATTTATAGTCAAAGGCCTGCAATGCAGTGGGAAAAGGACAGTCTGTTCAATATATGGTGATCTGTCAGCTAGATATGTAGCTGGGGAAAAAAATGAACTTTGACTGCTACTTTGTATCACACACACACACACAAAATTCAGGATAAATAATAGGGAAAAAAACCCCCACAGAATATCTTCATTAACTTCACATAGGCAAAGATTTCTTGAAAGGACACCAAAAATACTACGGTCTTTTGCTAGGAAATCTCATCTTTTCTCAAGCTTCTATTTTAAGCCCTGACCTCTAACCTAAATTTATGACTAACATATCCAACTACCTATCAACTACATCTGGATATCGAAGAAGTGTATTAAATGTTTCAACAGGATCCAAGTCCACCTCTCTATCTGCTTCACTCCAATCCTTCCCTTCCTGCTCTTTCCTTTCTCCATTGGTGGCAGTTCCATGCATTTAGTTGCTCAAGCTGAAAACCTAGTAATTATCCTGAAATCCTCTTTTCCTACATCATCACATTCACAAATCAGTCAATCCTTCTAATAATGTACACTGAACCCATCTACTTCTTTCTAGCTTTACTGCTTTTACCCTAGTCCAAACCCTTCCAGTTCTCACCAGATTGCTGTACTAACCTCTTTATAGTTCTCCTTGCTTCTTATATCCTTAAAGTCTATCTTTCACATAGCAGCCAGAATCATCTCTTAAAAAGAAATGAGCCGGGGATGTAGCTCAGTGGTGCCTCCACCTGCCCCACAAGTGCAAGGACCTGAGTTCAATCCCCAGTAACAAAACATAGAAATAAATGAGACTGGGCCTGGGATTTAGCTCAGTGGTTCTACCGCCTGCCTCGCAAGTGCAAGGTCGTGAGTTCGATCCTCAGTACAAAAAAAAAAAGAGATTATGTTCCTTCCCCTCTTCATTAATAGCTAGAATAATGCATATCCTCCTTGCTTTGATCTAAACACTTCCAAATAATGTAACTACTGTTGACCTCATATACTCTTCCCATTTACACTTAAGCTTTAAACATTTATGTATCTCAATTCCACCATATATTTATGTTTACTATACAAAATACTAATTTTTACCACGAGCCACTGGCTGTTCACATTAGAAAAATTATATATATACATAAATTATAAGCCACTGGCTGTTCACATTAGAAAAATTATATATATACATAAATTATATAGATTATAAAATTACAGTATAGAAAATTATACATATATAATATTTAGCCCAGACTGGCCTCAAACTCACAGTGATCCTTCTGCTCAGCCTCCTGAGTACTGGGATTACAGGCATGCACCACCTTGCCCGGCTCTAAATATATTCTAAGAACAGAATTTCACTAAAAGCATAGAGAAATATATTTAACAGGAACATTAGGTTTAAAAATAAATTTCGAAATTACCTCCTAAACTTATCTTTTTTGTCTTTTAAATCATCAACTTCATTATGTGTGAATAGATCAGCTATTCGTGTAAGAAGATTTGCATTAATACAGTTCATGTTGCATGGGGTAGCTACTATGGCATTCATATTTTTGTGGCAGTACTGAATACACTGTTCTACCTAAAAAAAATTAGAAAAGAATGTTGAAAATGATAGCACAAAGGATAATGTTATAGCAATACCTTTTAAACATAAAATTCATTAAAAGCCTAGTCCATGTATTAACTTAGTTTTATCTATCTGGGTTAATGTCAACTATTCTATTCCAAAGTGATTCTATAGGTCAAATTTGTAACTGCATATGCATATACACATGAACCTACAAAAATTATTTTCTAACCTTTCTTTTGCAAATAATATATTTTTTGTGGTTGGGGCAGGTTATGTATCTTAGTCTGTATACCACGTAAGTTTCCATAATTGAATTTTTATGTTTTATTTTTTTTGGGGGGGGGACAGGGTCTCACTGTATAGTTCAGGCAGGTCTTGAACTCACTATGTAGCCTAGGCTGGCCTCAAACTCAGTGATCCTCCTGCCTCAGCCTCCCAAGTGCTGCAATTACAAGTGTGTGCCACCATGCTTAGCAAACTCAGTTATAATTAAGCCTCTGTTTCTCTAGGTTTCTGAAACAAACCTTTAAGTCATTTAAGGACTTTCTCAGTTGTGCTAGGTTTGCTCTCTGATTTTCTTCCCCTCTTTCCAACCTCAGGTGTATTTATTTACTTTAAAAGAGATTAGTCACATATTCTCCCAAATATTTTGCTGACAGCATGAAAATTCTTTAAGGACTCTTTTTAATCTCTGCTTTTCTTCCATTGTCCTTACCTAAAGAAAGTAATACCAGCTCACTAAATGGGAAGGGGCAAAAAGTTAGAAAGCATAGTACTAGCAAAACTAGCAAAACTCCAAATAATCAAGTAATCAAACTTCTCATCTGCCAATATAGCAAAGTAGTATTCTTCACCGGAGAGTTTTATATTTTTTTAACCAGAAAATATTAACCACAAACATATATAATAATTTGAATGATAAATTTATTAAGTACAAAAGAAAAGCAAAGGCCGGGCGTGGTGGCGCACACCTGTAATCCCAGCACTCAGGAGGCTGAGGCAGTAGGATCGCTGGGAGTTCGAGACCAGCCTGGGTTACATAATGAGTTCCAGGTCAATCTCAACTACATAGTGAAACCCTGTCTCAAAAAACAAAAGCAAATATATGAAATGTGTATCTATATATTGTACTTTATCTTTCATTAGCTACTCTTAAGCAATAAATATAAACTTCAGTGATGCAAACATAAAATTATATAGTTGGATATTTGTTCTCCACTCAATGAACTATACATGAAAGAGATAAAAGCAAATCATGATTAAAGAAAACATTTAAGGGCCAGGAATGTAGCTGTGCCTCCCTGTCAAGATCAAGGTCCTGAGTTAGATCCCTGATACTGGAAAAAAAAAAATTTAAATAGCAAAGCATGTTTCATTTAGTTTTCATTTAATTTGAGGTAAGACAAATCCTGTCTGAGGTAAAGTTACTCTTCAGTTTCACCTACTACAACAGTGAGCTACTCTGAGGATTAACTGCTTGCTTTTTAAGTATAACTGCATGACATATGATACCCAGTAGTCTCAAGATTAAGACTACTTTCCTAACAAAAAAAAGTATTTCCAAACATGAGCAATGTATTTCAATAAAATCACACTCTTGAATTAACTACTTTAATAAAGTATCTGAGAATTTCTCAGATATTTGAAGGAAAAAACCTAAGTGAATAGAAGACTGGATTTTAAAAATTAATACTTACTAGTGAATCCATTTTCAAAAACTCTGAAGAAATAAGAATTGAAATGACATTTCCTGGTTCTAAAAAAAAAAAAACAGATTAAAATTCCTTTTGATTTTTATTATTCTCTCACAGGTTCCTTCTTACCTTCAAAAAAGATGTTACTTTAATAAGAACTTACTATAACTTCACTTATTATGCTCAGATATACAAAAGGAAGAAAATTCAAAGTTAAAACTTGTAATACAGAGGAAAATGCATAGTAAATCTGCCCAGGAAATGGTCATAGTAAGTAAAGACTCCAGCTAAAGGTATGAAACATGCCAAAAGGAAATACACCAGAGGAAAACTTTAAAAAATAATTAACAAGAGCATTTGTTATTAGGGAAGGTATTTTAAAAAAGAGTTCAATGCTTATTATGAACAAATATTTTAAAAATCCTTAAAAGTAATAAGCAATTTACTACTACTTGGGTGTGGAGACGCCTGCCTGTAAACCCAGTGGATTGCAAGTTTAAACTCAGCCCAGGCAAATTAGTAACTTAGAAGGGCCTTGTCTCAAAATTAAAATAAAAAACATTTTTTTAAATTATGGAGATGGTGCTCAGTGTGAAGGCCCGGAGTTCAATCCCAGTAGTGGATGTGTGTGTGCGCGCGCGCACACACACACACACACACACACACACACACACACAAATTACTACTGCAGAAGTGCTGAAGTTACTTCCTAAGGCATACTGAATGATTCTTCAGATATAAAGACAGGGAAAGGGGGATGCTATCTGGCATTGTATTTTAGGGAGTCTGTCACTGCCAATGAAGTATATTTAAGAAAATACTGTGATTTTTCACTACTGTAGCACTATACAATCATATATTTGAAATCTTCATAATTAAAACAAGTGATCCCAATCTTTACCTAAAACTTTAGCTTAAAGTTTCTCAAATGGAAATGGTAAGAGGAAGAAGCTGGTGAGAAAGCACCTTAGAAAATTAACTGTCCAGTTAAGAACCAGTGGTTGGACTACTAGAGATTCAATTAGGCATGTTAATACTTTTCCTGGTTAGAATAAAGTTTGCTTTTATAAACATTTAAATGTTATCACTGACAAGGTCAAAGATGAGAGAATGGCTAGATTTTCTCTACTTTGCTATTACTACACACAAAAATGTGCTAGATCAGATAATATTTTATTCTTTACATATTATGTTTCAAATATACGAAATCACATTTGTGGTTTGATAAATTCTTTGCACTAAAATTGCTGCGTACTCTGGGTGCAGTGGCACATACCTGTAATCCCAGCACTTGGAAGGCTGAGACAGGAGGATTGCCATGAGTTAGAGGCCAGCTTGGACTACATAGTGAATTTAAGGCCAACCTGGACTACATAGCAAGACCCTATCTCAAAAAAAGAATAAAATAAAATTGCAAAATGCTACTTATATCAGTTTCAAAAAAATTTTTTTTGGTACTGGGGTTCAAACTCAGGACCTTGCATTTGCAAGGCAGGTGGCAGAACCACTCAGCTAAATCCCAGCCCTGAAATATTTTTTTGCAAATCTCTACAACATCTGACTTAACAGAAGACATCTGTATTCACATGTCTGTTTTCACATTCACATTTGTGAGTGGCCTTCTTTGATATCACACAGAAATTTGACAAACATTAGTTTCTTAAAAGTTATGTGCAATGGAATCTGAAATTTTATCAATAAAATTTTCTACTCTGTTAAATAATTTATCTTATACTTTGAATAGATTACTAATCCATTTTTTAAACATTATTCATCATTTAGAAAATATTAGCTGAGTTACGCAGAGCTTCCAAATGTTGAGACATTTCCTTGTGCAATATATATTTTAAAAATCACATTTATTGAGCCAAGTGTGATGGTACACACCTGTAATCCCAACATTTGGGAGGCTGAGGCACCGTCTCCCCATTAAAAACAAAAAATCACATTTATTATGGTGCAGCAAATTTATAATCTCAGCTTTTGGGTGGCTACATGTCATCTTAGCCAAAAGACCGAGAAGCGATGCTCTTGGATGGCTGAGGCAGGAGGACTGCAATTTTTTTTGGAGACAGAGTCTTGCTATGTAGTTCAGGGTGGCCCTATAATCACCTGTAGCCCAGCCCAGCATCAAACTGAGAGTGATCCTCCTGCCTCAGCCTCCTGAGTGCTGGGATTACAGGAATGCACCACCATGCCTAGCCCCAGTATTGCAAATTTGAATTCCACCTGGGCAACTTAATGAGACCCTATTACAAGAAAAAAATAAAAGGGGCCGAGTATGAGCTCAGGATGAGGGCTGTTTTCAACCTGCAGGGCAAAAACAAAACAAAACAAGACCAAATCACATTTATTCATATGATCATCAATCAGATCGCATTAGAGAAGTCTTTTTTTTGTTTGTTTTTTGGTACAGGGGATCAAACTCAGGACCTTGCGCTTGTGAGGCAGGCAGTGGCACCATAGAGTTAATGTGCCAGCCCCCACCTTCTTTTTAAGACAGGGAACTATATAGTCAAGGCTGCCCTCGAACTCATGGTGATCCCCCAGCTCCAGCCTCCTGAGTGCTGGAATCACAGGCGTCTAGGCCCTAGGAAAGTCTTTTGAGTGCAGTTGTGTACATGGGAGCAGGTTAAGTTTTCCAAAATGCTTTCTCTCAAGACAACCACTACACACTGGCATGCAAAGAAGTGCACTTCCCCTTTCACCACAGAGAGCACACTCAAGATTTAAAAATCAGAAATGTTTACTGCTTCAAGGACATTCTTAACTGAACTGACATTTTTTCTTTTATTCCTTTCTACCTATAAGTGCATGGTGTTAAAGAATATAATGACTACTAATACAGTTTGGTGTCCCTACCTTGATTAATACTTAGGCTCCAACAGTATTACTCACCATTGCCTTTGCATCACTTGGTAAAGTTAACATGGCAAAAAAACAAAACAAAACAAAACAAAAAACATCTTGATATTATAGTGCAAGTTGTTTTAACCCTGTAGATTCTTTAAAATGGTTTGCAGGATCGCAGTGGTCCACATATATGTTAAGACTGCTGATTTAGGAAAGTGTTTTTTGGGCACAAATAGTAAATTTACTAAATTTTATTTAGTGAACAACTTAATTTCTAAAAAAAAAAAAAATGAAATATCAGTTTCCAAGATACTAATGCTCAAATAATATTGTACATTCCATTTTTGGCCTGAAACAATTATCAGTTGACGTGGAAATTTCACTATAAAATAAAGCAACAGATTGTCTTTTACCTAAAGTGGGCATCTCACAATCTTTATTCTCCTTAGTGTTCCTTTTAACGTATTTTATCAACCAGTTGAAAATGTGAACATCACAATGAACTGAAATGTCCACCTCTTCCCAGCGCTGGGCATCCATAGATAAATATTCAGCAAAGTACTTCATTTCTGATATCAAAAGATCTCGTGGGCAAATAAAGTCTTCTTTCAAGTTTTTTCCTTCATCACATACATGAATCACCATGTTTGGCCTTCATAAAAAATGTTAAACAGAAATCAAGTTATTAGTTTTAGAAGAGGATCTAAGAATATTGACATTTATTGGAGGAAAAAGAACAAGTTTTTTAAAAAGATTTTTGTCCAAAAATGAATTTTAGAGGATTCTGACATGCAGAAATTTTCAAGTGTCTTGCTAACCTGACTATATAAGGTTTTGACTAATTTTAGAAAGTTACTGACAGTAAAATGGCAAATAACAGTTACTGAGGGACTAATAATTAATAATGCTAAAACATTTTCCAAGTCATATCTAACATATGAAGTTTATAAAAATAACACCATTCCCCAAAATTAAGTAATATGTTTTAATTCCTGTGATGGATATAAAATAGCACTTTTACATTGCTATGGGAGCGGGAGGGAAATAACAATGATTAAATACTAAAATGTTTACTTTTGAAAAAGGAAAAACTGGGCCAGGGATTTAGCTCAGCGGTTCAGTGGCCTGCCTTGCTAAGTGCAAGGACCCGAGTTCAATCCCTGGTACCAAAAAAAAAAAAAAAAAAAAAAAAAAAAAAAAAACAGCTAATAGTATCTATTGAGAAGTCAAATTTAAAATTAGCATGGCTTATTTTTAATAGCAAGAATATTTGGTTCTAGGCATTCATCAAATAAAAAGTAATATAGTTAAAGGGATTTTTGAGACTACAATATGTTTACACATTTTAAAAATTTAATAAATTTAGGGGTTGGGGATTTGGCTCAGTGAGGGTTCTGCTGCCTGCCTTGCAAGTGCAAGGGCCTGAGTTTAATCCCAGGCACACACAAAAAAAAAAGTTTAGATAATGCATCAAAGTCTATTTCAAAAGTTATATACTTTGAATTTATTTTCTGTCAAAATTATATCACTTCAAAACCAAATAGTACGCTGGGGATTTAGCTCAGTAGTTCCACCATCTACCTTGCAGGTGCAAGGTCCTGAGTTCAATCCCTGATACCAAAAACAAAAACAAAAACAGTGTGATCCACTTCAGCTTTCATGTCACTACAGAAAGAAGAGAATAAACAGAGACAAGTGTACTGTATTGTTTAACTTCATAAATTTTGAATACAAGATATCTTATATAAAGTTGTGCTACCAGAAAAAGAATTATAATCAATACTCCATCAAAATTTTAAAACTTTTCTCAGGAGCCGGGGATTTAGCTCAGTAGTGCTAGATCCCGCCTTGCAAGTGCAAGGTCCTGAGTTTGATCCCTGGTACCAAAGAAATTATGGTAAAAATATAGATAGTAATGATATAATGAAAGATAAAAGTTTCTGTGGCTTTTTGGACCATCATATGAACTATCAGCTAATTCCAGAAAAAAATAACCAGCAAATTTCTGTTATCATATAGACAAATTTTATGTTAAAAAAAAAAATCTATGGGCTGGGGATTTAGCTCAGTGGTTTTGCCACCTGCCTCAGAAGCGCAAGGACCTGAGTTTGATCCCCAGTAACAACAACAAAAAAAATTTTTGTGGGCCAGGTGCAGTGGCACATGCCTGTACCAGCTACTCAAGAGGTAGAGGCAAGAGGATTGCAAGTTAAAGACCAGTTTGGGCAACACAACAAAACCCATCTCAAAAAAAAAAAAAAAAAAAAAA